GCGGCTAAGGCGTCCATAGACATGGGGGGAAAGGTCAAGGAGTGTAATTACAACGGTTTCGTATCAATTCAATGCTCTATTCAGCGCACTTTCTGAAGTGAGGACATTTCTCAGAATGTAACAACAACACAGGAACGAACGGGTGAAAGGAGTTGGGTTATGACAGGCTAGAGGAGGAAACATTATTAGATTATATTGCGTCGTGCGTACCTAAGAGAAATCGATTCATTGTGTATTTCACTATCAAAAGGTTTTTACACTCTGCAGGATGTGCAATAAGTCTGTCTGTCACCCTGAGCTCAGTTTCACTCCATTTTAAAATATTATTTTGGCCAGGGGGGAGGGGGGTTATACTGCCGTAAGCTGCCAAAAGTCTTTTTATTTTTATTTTTTTAATTCAGAGCCGTTTCGAGATAAAGAGGTTTTTTGTCAGCGTAACCATTTAAAAGACGCGTTCTTCCAAAATTTGAATTCTAATTTATTTGTAAAAAACTAGTCAGTTTCATTTTGATTTTTTTTTCACACAAGTAAGGAAACTGATCAGGCTTTCGATTTAGGAATTTTTTTTTGATGGCGCCAAAAATTTTAAAAAGACGCTTCGTCAGCTTACGTTAGTATAGGTCCTCCGATAAGACCGAGCCAAACGGGTTGAGAGCCTTGGAACCTCGACAACACGACTTCAGTTCAAGAACGCCCGGTTAAGGACACGAACCAAGACCATCCACTCTGTACCCCAGAACGATATCAACAAAGCAGACATATCACCCCATGGCACCCAGGAACCACCAACTTGGAAGTTTGTGGCGCACAGAAAATTAGAAATCTATCGCCGAATTCATAAAGTTGTTATGGAAAAACAATCTTGTCCTGGCGTGACTGTTCTTGAGATAAGAGGGAAATTCTGGGTGGGTATACTAGAACATCAACATACACAGATTCCGCATCAAGACGAACTCAGTATTTTCAACTTTCCACATAGCTGACGGACACAATCTGCTGACTATTGAAGTTTCTTTTTGTTAGATCTATGTTTTTCTGTAGGCTCCTCTAGTCTCACATAAAAATCCATAATAATCCACCAAACTTCACTCTGCTATTTCTGTCTGTCTGTCTGTCTATCTGTCTGTCTGTCTGTCTGTCTGTCTGTCTGTCTGTCTGTCTGTCTGTCTGTCTGTCTGTGAATCAACAAAATTATAATATCCCTTACAT